GCCATTCTTCCTTCCTTTTTGTCATTTATCAGGTATGATATTTGCTCTGGGAACCTGGTGAAGTTTTGGGAACATCTTTGGGTGGGAGAATTGCCTTTGAAAGAACAATTTCCTTTCTGGCCCCTTTTGAGTCATACTTTGGGTTTGATTGGGATTCAGGTCTTAGAAGAGGCCTTAGGGATTCAGAAGTTGGTAATGTAATGGACTGGCTCTAGATTCTAAATGGGGTGGTGTTGGATCCCTCAAAGGGGGATAGTAGAGTTTGGACCTTGACTTCCTCCAGTGAATTCTCGTGTACTTCCTTTTTCAAAACCTTGGTGCAATCCTCTAACAGTAATGTCCAAACCTTTCCAATAGTGGAAGTGTGGGGTAAATCAATCCTTCCCAAGATTAGATCATTTTGTTGGAAAGCTTTCTTGGAAAGATGCAACACTTGTGAATTACTCCGAAGAAAAAGGCCTAATTGGTGCTTATCCCCTAACCAATGCATCCTATGCAAGGCTAATGGAGAGAAGTTGCTACCACTTATTAATCTCCTACCTTTTGTTTCTGATATTTGGGATTGGTTTCTTTCTTCGTTTGGTTGCAAATGGACCCCTCCGCCAAATATATAAGGCTTTTTCGCTACTTCTTTCATTAGGTAGTCAAAAAAAAGGGATGGGCAATATGGGAAGAAAGGAATGCAAGGAATTTTTTCTAAAAAGTAAAGGAATTAAGAAGCCATCATTGAAGCAACTCTTAGATCTGTGCAATAGGAAAAGTCTTTGGAGCTGTTTGTTGATGTCACTACGGATATGCTGATTAACAATGGGAAGGAAGTGGCTAATTCAGAACCAGTCCAATCAACTGCTAGTTCTATTTGGTCCACACCAGCTTCTGGGTTTATTAAGTTAAACTTTGATGGAAGCAGTGAAGGTAATTTGGGGCCTTCAGGAATAGGTGGATCATTCAGGGATAAGGATGGGAAAGTAATTTCAATGTATTATGGTCCCATGGGGATAGGTGACTCTCTTAGAGCTGAGACTGTGGCATTAATGGAAGGCTTAAGGAAGACAAAGGAGCTGAATATTCAAAGGTAAGTAATAAGTTATTGAAGGAGATTCGAAGTTGGTTATAGGCTGGTTGCAGAAGAAACACAGCGGGCTTTGGAAGTTTGCTAACGAGGGAAGGGAGTTCAAATGGTTAACCAGGGGTTTAGAAATTCAGATTCAACAGGTGAAAAGAAGTATAAAATGCATTTGTGGATACTCTAGCAAAACAAGGGGTGAGAAGACTCTCCCCAAGAAGAGCAAGAACATTAGTTACAATACAGGTGAAAAGAAGTATAGATGCATTTGTGGATACTCTAGCAAAACAAGGGGTGAGAAGGAATCAAATGTTCTGGGCTGTATTGTAATTTATGTTCTTGCTCTTCTTGGGGAGAGTTAAGATATTTTATCTCTCCCCACTATGTCCTTTGTAATTTCTACTTATTTATTTATTGAAAGTTCTGTTATTGATTAAGAAAAACAATCTTCATGTGATTACCACCCAAGTCACGTGAGCCCACCTTCTAGCCAGCTCATTGGGAATCTTGAGCAAGTTGCTAAAAAAAAGGCCAGGCTCCTCCCAACTGGTTTGGAGGAAGCTCCCACTTTACCCGAGCCCTTAACCCCCCCCCCCCCCTCAATTGAATACAACCCTTTATCGAGTCTGATATGGCCCCCATCTTTATGATTTCAACATGAGGGATTTCCCACCCTTTTCCTGCTGAATTCAAATTTATTTAAATTATTTTCCTTTCCCAAGTAAACCTTGAACTTATTCCCTCCTCCCAACTGTTTGCCTTCTACAAATGTATCTCCTGTCAGGGATTTCTCACCAACCACTCTTTTACCTCCATGTAGGCTCCCCGCTTGCCAACTCAACATCATCTTCAGCCTCTCGCCTCAATCTCCAAAACGACGCTTCAGGTTCCATCCTATCCACACCTTGTACCAAGACACATCAAAAGAGGCTTCAATCTAGCGAGGAACATGGTCTGGCTTCACACCTTCTACCTTAATCTTCACCACTCGAAGATTATCAGTCTCAGTTTCTAGCAGAACACCACCCAACGACTTTGCTATCTTCTCGAAACAGGATGCCTTTCAAAGTTGAATGGAAGACCAGACAGATTAATTTCAAAAGCTCCAACATCCAAGTCCTGGCTATTACAAGAAGGGACTAATTTTCGATCAACACTAGCCTCAAACCAGCCTATACAGTGTAAAAACCAATCGCCCCTATCCCCGATGTCCAGTAAGGCTCTTCTTTCATCATGGGAAGATAGAGACTCCAGAAAGATCTTCAAGTTTAGATTTGGTATCTTCCAATATACTCTCCCAATCTATCACCTTCTTTGCAGTCTTAACAATCCACCTCTCCTCCCAACCTTCTCTGTCACTGTCCAACAACAACTTTTGTAATTTAATGGAATTACTTACTGTAACGCACTGTTGATTCTTGGGTTGTGAAACATCTTTTGCTTCTCCCCTGTTCTCGCCTGTCCCGCTCAATTCCAAGGAGGGCTCCAAGTGTTTAGTTTTTTTTTCTTAATCCCCAGACTCAGGCTTTTTGGTTGCTTCCACCTCTTTTTTCAACAGAGAGCCATGTAAGTTTTGCATCATCAGCTTCCAACCTAAACCTTGTTTTCCTTCTGGGATACAAACAAGTTGTTTTTTGTTGTATCCAAAGAATTCAGTCACCACCACAAACCAACCTTTCTGGTTCCACATAATCTCTACTTGGTACCTTCTTCTTGACACCTCCAAAGAACTCTTCCACCACACTTTCTTGATGGAGAATAGTGCCCCATTGATGAAACCTTTCAACCACTGTGTAACTTCTCCAATCAAAAAAGTTGTTGCTTTTCCTTCCTCTCTGATCTTTAACATAATTTTTCCTTTGCTCTTATCCTCTTCTAGCAGCACCTTCTTGGCTTCAATCTTTTTGAAGATAAATAAAGAAAAAAAAATTATTACTAAAAGAGTTTACAGCTCATAGGTGGCAAGAGGTCACCCCCAAGAAACAGTCAGACAAAAACAGAACAGACTTACAAACAAAATACATCAGAAAACCAGAAATTAAGCATTCAAGGAGCTCCGAAAGTCTGCCCCAAAATCTTCTTTCTATAGTCCTTGAAAATCTGGCAGGATTAACACCCAACCTATGACTGAAGAACTGATTCGAGCCACCACCTCTTCCCAACTTTTTTCCTTGTTATCAAAGATTCTTTTATTTCTTTCTTTCCAAACTTCCCAGCACACTGCGAAAGGAATACAGGTCCACAAAATCTTGACCTTAGAACCACCCTGAACTCTTGGCCAACATCCAAAAGTTTCAGCCTGATCTGAAATTGACCACTGGTCCCTCTTAAACAGCTTGAAAAAATAGGACCAAATTTAGGAAATGAAGCTGCACCTGTAGAACAAATGCAATATGTTTTCTTCTCCAGATAATCAAAGGATACATCTGCTTGGGAATTGAAAGCCTCAGCTCTTAATGTTGTCCTAAGTCAGAATACACCCCTTGGCTAGCAGCCAAGCAAAGGCTTCCACTCTTGGGGGCACAGGTTTCCCCCAAACTCCCTGGACTGGATCAGCTTCCACCATGTTTCTGATCAGAATTGAGTACATTGACTTGACTATAAATTTCCCATCCTTGCAATCCTTCAACCACCTGCTATCATCAACTGATGGATTGATCTCCACCAACTGCAATTTGGACAGCAGCTCCATACCACAGAACCATTTGAGACTTCGTAACAATCCAAAATAGGTACACCCTTCCGACCCAATCTGTACAACCTTGGACAGATTTCACACCTCCCTAAACCAGACCAGTTGTCCTCCCAGAATCTAATGCTGGACCCATTCCCCGCTCTCCAAGAATAGTGAGGAACAATTAAAGAATTGAAGCTCATTGTCCCTTTCCACACACATACCCCAGAAGATTGTCTTACTTCCTTTGAATCCCACCCAAGATTCACAACCCCATAGTTCCCAGCCACAACTCTCCTCCATAAAGCCTCCCTCTCTCTACCAAACCTCCACACCCACTTTCCCAACAAGGTTTTGTTAAAGACCCCCACTCTTTGCACTCCAAGACCCCCTTCTTTTTAGGCTTGCACACTGTTGAAGCATTTTTTTAATCAAAATAATATTTAATAATTTAATAACCCAAATAAGTGGGTTGGCTAGTCTGCTAGCCAAATTATCAAAACTATAAAAAAGTATCCCGTATGGGAGTTCCCTCTCTTTAAGTGGGAGGGACAGGTGTTCTTCACTTAGGAGGAGGAGGTAGTTACAAAACTACCCCACTCCCTATTTAAGCTCCTTAAGGGGAAGCTAGAGAGGAATGGAAACACTCTTCAGGGAAAATTATCTCAAGAGATTTTTAAGAAAAGTAAAGATAAAGAGAGAAGAAAAGAGAAGTGCTCAAGGGAAGGCAGGGAAGGAAAAGAAGTTTCACTAATACAGGTAGGAAAAGGAAAATCCTCTTCATGAATACTTCCTATATATGTCTTCTGCTATGTATCCTTCTTTCTCTCTCTTTTATTTTCACTTTTGAGAATGGAAATAGAGGGAAATAAACCACCTACAACCAAGTGCCTCTACTTGGTTGAAAGAGTCTCTTGGGGCAGGTTTTTGGTTTATTTTAGAGCTGGAAAATGTTCAGTGGTGACTAAAATTGTTGTAATTTTCTGTTTTATTATACTTTTTTCTTTTGTGTGATTACTCATCAATCTTCCTGATTGTAATCTTTTTTATCAGTAACAAAAAATTTTCATTGCTTAAAATAACCACAAGATTAAGAGCCTTGCACTCTACCGGCTGAGCTAGACAGGCTTTTTTATTTGAATGAAATTTTCTTTTATATTTATTACCAAAAAGGATTCCTTAAGAACTCACCATCCACTTTCTGTTTCTCTCTTATTTTCTACCAAACTAAACGCAATGTAATAAAAGAAAGAAATTTACCTCATCCCTGAATAATGTTAGAATTAAATTTTCTTTCAGTACAACCTGGAAAAAGAAAAAGTATCAAAAATAACAGATGTAAGTAATAGAATAGAACATCATGTAAAGTGGCAATAACCATTAACCACAAAATACCAAATTAAATAACAAGCTCCAACTGTGACTTAACAAAGGAAACAGGTGAAATACAATAAACTATGCCAAACCTGCCCAACAAATATAGTCACCCTATTTCTACCAGTATCTCAACCTTCTGTCTTGGTAACAAAAAAGGTGAAGATAGAAGAACAACACCCCATGAATAGAAGAATTTACATGGAAAGTATATAAAAGATCCATACGTAAAAGGATAAAGCAGGATTGGTAATTCAATTATTTTTTCATTCTATATAACACTACCAAACTTGATATCTATGTGCTCTTTGAGCCCCAAAAGCAGTATTGTCTATTTTTTTTTCAATCAACAGTAAAAGGAGTATTTTGGGGGATTAGATAAATAGTTGGGATAAGACTTAGTTAGTGACAATGATGATGATGATTAAGAGAGGAGAGAAGTACAGCATGCCCAGGTGCAATGCAAAGAAAAAAAAAGGAGAAAGGGTAAGGAAAGATAACAAAAATAAGACTTTTCTTTTATGATAACAAAAAGAAGATGGACAAAAAAGAGATCTACCACATGTTTTTCTGTTGGGAATGGTTTTCTCTTTGTTTGGGTGCAGATGGAACCCCTCGCCAAATGTTCAAGGCTTGTTTACTTCTTCCTTTGTTCACTTGAGAAAGAGAAGGGGAAGAACCCTTTGGAGGTGTACAAGAGTGGAAATATGCTGGACAATATGGGAAGAAAGGAATCAAAGAATTTTTCTGACAAGGAGCAGAGAAGCAATCATAGAAGCCATCACTGTCAGAGTTATCCATTGGGTTAAATCCTTGAGAAGCTTTGATGACATTCCCACAAATGACTTGCTTAGAAAGTAGGAGGTGGCTAATTCTTCTCTTACAAGAGCTGTTATTAGGCCGGTTTGGGTCCCACCTCCTAGTGGGTTTTTTAAACTGAATTTCAATGGTAGTAGTGAGGGGAATCCAGGCCCTTCAGGTATTGGAGGTGTTTTTTGGAATGAGAGAGACTAGGGAGGAGTTATTGCCCTTTACTCGGGACCAATAGGTGTGGGAGACTCCCTGAGGGCAGAAGTTCTGGCTGTGATGGAAGGGATCCAAAAAGCCAAGGAGCTGAATAGAAGAAAGTTGATCATAGAAGGAGATTCAAAGCTGGTAGTTAGCAAAGACGAGACTGGCTGGTAGAAATTTGTTAATGAGGAGGAACTTTTAAGTTTTTAACTCAGGATATAGAGATCAACTCTTCTGGGCTGTTCTGTAGTTGCTGTACCCTATTGTCATCTTAGAGAGAGTTAAGAGAGTTTATCTCTCTCCAGGGTGTTCTCTTGTATCTTCTTCATTAATTAATTAAGTTTCTGGTTATTGATCAAAAATAAAAAAGAGATCTGCCACTAATATTCAAACTTTGAACTTCTGTCTTTGCCCCTTCAATATAAAGAAATAATGTGAGGCATTAAAAAGAGAAGAATAACCAACATCACACTGAGAATACCATAGCAATGTCAATGCTGGTAACACGAAGTAGCTCATCAGGACAAACAAGATAGCCAAGAAGAACCCATTCCCGGTAAGAAGTGACATTTGCTAAATCTTGAGCCCTCTGCAAGGAAAAACATAAAGTGATAATGCAAATAATCAAGAACGGAACATACATTCTCGTTTAGAAAGCTTAAGAGTTCATGAATGTGCATGGATAATCTAGCATATACGATGACATTTAACAATTTCTAAGTTACCCAAGAATATCATGCATACCATTGGGTGAGCTGAATTTGTAAGTATGTCTGGATACCGAGGATGAAATGGACTTAGAAACCCCTCATTTCTCAACTTCCTGGTATCAGTAGACAGAAAAATAATAGGTCCAACAGCCTCCAAAACCTGAAAACAAAGAGTCACTCAGCCACAATAAAGCATTTCACTGAAAGGTTGTTAAGATTCTATGAGGAACATTAATGAAATTAACAGTGTATATTAAATTCATTTGTTCAGCCAAAGATTGACAAGAATATAGAATTCAAATACTTGATGTAATAGAAACTATGGTTATTAATACATGTATATAGTCAAAGTAAACTACAGATTGTAGGATACAATCAACTATTAGCGATTATATTGTGCATCTTACTTTCCAAACCCTTTCTTTCTCGGTAACAAAAAATAATAATGAAGAAGCAAAAGACTGGGTGCTATCTTATCACCCTGGCTGTTGCTTGTATTCAGATCCTTTTTGTTTTCTTTTTAATAAAATTTTCCTTTTTACTCTTCAAAAAACGATGAGGATGAGGATGAGGATGATGAAAGTGAAGAAAGAGTTAAGATGAAGAAGGGGAAGGCACTATGACCTGATGGTATTACAATAGAGGTTTGAAAAGCTACGGGAAAGGAAGACTTATTATGGCTAACCTTAACTGAAAAATCTAATAAGATAATGAAAACAAAAAGGATGTGAAATGAATGGAGAAAGAATACTATGGTGTCTCTATTTAAAAAACGGCAACATACAAACTTGCAATAATTATCATGGGACTAACTCATGAACCACAATTACAAAACTTTGGGAGAGAGTTATTAAACAAAGATTACAACATGAAACAAGTATATCAAGAAAAAATAATTTGGCTTTATTCCAAGTTCCAAGGAGATCAACCACAGAAGTTATCATTCTGTTTAGACTATTGATCAAAATGTTGAGAGAAGAAGAGACATCTTCATGTGGTATTAATTGATCCAAAGAAACTATATGACAGAGTCCAACTGTTTGGTTGGGCGGAATCGGAATATCATTCCCATTCCTGGTGGAATGGCATTCCCCCATTTGAGGGAATGGCCATTCCCTCCCCCTCCCTTGGGAATGAAATCTCATTCCTGATGATTCCAATTCCCACTCTCATTCCTATCTGAACCAAACAGACTATGGGAATAGACCATTCCAATTCCAATTCCAATTCCGATTCTGACTTCAGACCAAATGGACCCTAAGACTTTGTTTGGAAGTTATCAACCAAATTTTTAACACCTATGAAAGGCTCCAAACAAAGTGGAAACATAGATCTCTCTCTCCTCATGTGTGTGTATCCTCTGATTGAAGCATGGAGAAAACACCAACCATCTTTTCTTACAGTGTTCCTATATGCCTCTAGACTGTGGCATCTATTCTCATCATTGTTTGAAAGAACTTAGGTGACTCCCAATGAAGTGGTAGACTTATCCAAAGTATATTTGATAGGTTTTTGTATCCAGAGGCAAAATATCTTGTGGCAGTGTGTGCATGGGACTATGTTATGGGGACTGTGGTGTGAAAGAAATGTGAGGATTTTTGAAAAGAGATACAAGCAGGTGGAGGAAGTGTGTGAACTCACAACAGTAAGGGCTACTGATTGGGTTGTGATTTCTGAGGAGTTCAGAGGTATCTCCCTTAATTATTTGCTAAGGGGATCTGCCCCGAATGGGGCAGAGATGGGATGTATTTGAATATGTTTGAATATATTTGGATCTATTTTGATAGGATTTTAAATTGTAACTATTTATTCAAAAAAATGGAATGGAATAGAAATTTAAAAAACAAAATGAATTTGATATCATAAGAGAAAATGGCAGGGAGTGGGGATCCCCGTGGGGATGGGGAGTTCCTCCCCGTCCCCACCCTGCCCCATTGCCATTCCTAGTCAGCCCAAGCTTTTACCACTGTACCAAGCAATGGCCCCCTATGGTACAACAATTTAAGTAGAATAAAAAAGTGCAGGTATATTCTTTCTGATCAAACACACACACACACACACATATATATGCAAGTATAACATTTAAACATTAAAATGCTAAATATTTTTTTTGATAATTGAAAGAAATTTATAATCAGCAATGGTAAATAGTACAATGTCCCCAAGAAGAGGCACAAGATGCAACCTCTCCAAGCTAGTTAAGTACAGCTTTCCAATATACTATAACAAGTTACAATGCAGCACAAAAAAGATCCTCCCTGGAAACCCCCTGTTTGGATGAGAGTTGAGGTAAAATGGGTAAGCAGGTCAGCTAATAAAAATGCTAAATATTAGTCAATTATGTGGAAACATCTTTAGTTTATCCTTTGCAAGATGGAAAAGCATATCACCTCTCCAATACGGGGGCTCACAAAATTAAGGTCCTCATGCAACCCTTTCAAAGGTGGATCATACGAGTCTATAAATTGAAGCAAGCTGTCAGAAAGAAAATGAACAAAATATCAATAGTTATATTTCTCATTGACAAAATTCTGCAAAATGAAGATGGAAATGTAACAAATAATCGAAATATGTACATATATGACACTGTCAAATTTGACATCATGCACTCCAAATTATGATCAAAATAATTTGAATTGTTTCTCTAACCATTGAGCAATAGGGCATCTATCTGTATTAATTATTTGCTGCCCACTAATATGAGAGAGTAGGATTGACAATTTCTGTTTATTTTGAACTACAAAAACTCCTCACATTAAGCCCCCCCCCCAAAAAAAAAAAACAAAAAAAAAAAATTCTGTGCAGACAGAAATTATTGAGAAACACATGGCTAATTTGGGGGGGAGGGGGGGATATCCAAGGTCTAACATTTTAGGCCAACAGTTATAATCCATCCACGGTTTGCAATATCAGTGAGATTTGACAAATTTTCCTACAAATTTTTCCTATTATCTATGTTGTAATATACATGGGTTGTTTTCCAAATTTCTTAAGATCAAAAAACAGGCCGGGTGAAACAGCTATAGCTGTCTAACATCCATATACATTGTAACAGATGTCACAATTGCTATGTTAGGCAACTTTTTGGGGTAGGTTAACTTAATATTATTTTATCTTAAAAGTGAGAAAGAGGTGTCAGGTCGTAAGCCATTTTGTTGAAATGAACAAGCAAGTTCAAATAGTTGGGCATGCAGGTTGACATTCAAGGTCCCACATTGAGGAAGATTTTAGCAAGTCATACATGAGTTGACTCATGGACACGTGTTGAGCCACAAATCCTTATCAAACAGGTGTCCATGCAAAACTGCACAATAGATTATATTCAAAGAAGTTACACAATGGTGCCTGAGTTGGAACCCCCTTCACCTAACTATGTGAAACTAAATTTTGATGGAAGCTCCCTGGGTAATCCTGGACTTTCAGGAATTGGAGGATTCTAGAAATGAAGAGGGTGTGATGGTAGCACTTACTCAGGACTGATTGGGAATGGGGATTCACTAAAAGATGAGGCTCTGTGTTTATTACAAGGACTGAAACTAGCCAAGCAGCTTGGATTGAAGTTGGTAGAGGTTGAAGGAGACTCAAAACCAGTCATCTTGTGGATGTGCAGCAATAACCCAGGTACTTGGATGTTAAAGCAAACATTGAGGGAGATGAAAAGTCTAGTTATAGAAGTGGAAGTTACCTTCAGATGGGTGAAAAAAATGACAAATAGTTTGGCTGATGTATAAGAAAAGCAAGGGGTTCACAGGGAACAACTCTTCTGAGCAGTGTAATGGGCACAATGTAATTAATGTCTGCTGGACTAATTCCAAGCATATGTAAATATTAATTTTAATTAATGAAGTAATTCCTGTTGATGATCAAAACGAAAAGTTATGAGTGAAGATAGGATGAACGATATGTTGGGAAAGAACTGATTTATGGTTTATATCATTCTCCATGGATTCTTTCCATGCTATCATGCATGCATCACAAGTTCAATTCATTCAATCTGGAACACACCATACCTATTTATGGTTTGTATCCTTCAAATTGATGTTATTCTGCTTCCTGCACCTTGTCAAGGATATGCTACAAGGATGTGGACAAAGATTCCTTTTCCTCACCAATCCATCAATCCAATTCAAATTCATTGGGGTTAAACATAGTCCAAGACTCAAATCATTAGCAGAAGCTTTTACCTATGCATCTCCCATGGCTCCCAACTTCTTTCCTTGGTCATATGCTAAAAGAGATTGGAGGAGATCACTGTGTTTTGCAAGTTATCTTTATCTTTAAAAACCATAGCTCACCATCCAATCCCAGATAGAAGAGAAATGTGTTTAATTGAACCATACCACCATTTTTTAACATGAGCTTGGCCACTAGGGGTCTGGCAGAAATAAAATCAGAATCCCCACTCCTTTAGGCCAAGGACTCTCACGTCAGCTTAAACTAAATATTGGAAATTTGGAACAGAAATAACAGCAGAGGAAATTATCACTTTCTTAAAGGATACCCAGTTCCCGACCCCATTGCTAAATCAGAGACAAAACATATAATTCACTTTCCTACTCCATTGGACTAAAAACAATGCAATATCCCTTTTCTTTTTCGTTTTTATCAAAAACAAAAGAAATAGGTGCCTCAAATCTAACGGTCTGTTTGGTTCACAGTCAAAAATGGAATCGAAACTCATTGGAACAGGAATCGGAATGGTCTATTCCCCCCGCCTGTTTGGTTCAGATTGGATCTGGAACCAGAATCAGAATCAGCTGGAATGGGAACCGGATTCTGATTCCACCCAACCAAAGTTTGGAATCAGAATGGACCATTCCGATTCCCATTCCAGACCCCTAAGCCCATGAACCAAACAGACCCTAATGAAATAGGCCATAGAAACTCAATGGAAGAAAAAATAGACTCTGGCAGAAATTTGTATACTTCAACATTTATAAGAAAGAAAGGGCTGAAAATTGTAGCATAATCCTGTGTAATTACTGTTTCATCTAACATTGCTATTGATGTTTCTTTTTATAAGAAAAATTAGCAAATTACTCATGTTCACGGTGTCCTTTTACAATTACCAGCAATTACATAAAAATTGGTTTAGTCTTCTTCAGCTATAGCATGACAATAAGTAATGTTTTACTATATTATGTCAAAAGCATCAAGAAGTTGAAAGAATTAGAATACCAAGGCTTTAAATTCAGTAATCTGGCCCATTTTCACAGGGTCAGAAAATATAATCCTACCAACAAATCTTTTTCCTACCGATGATAAAACTCACAGTCTCGGCCATTTCTTATCATTGAATGCAAAAGATTATACATTTGCAGCAGCATCTTCCTGGGTATCTGCCATTAAAAAGTAAATTATTAGTGTAATTTTTTCTTTCTTTTTTTACTTTTGTGCACTTGTGGTAGTCCTAGAAAATACACAGAGAAATAAAAAAGGAACTTTTCACTACATAATATTCAACCGTGAAGAAGCACAGAGTAAAGTAACCTGCCTTCTCAGAGAAGAGATTAACACGGACAAAGGAACAAAAGAGATCCATAAAGGCATGCAGAATCAACGAATTCTGATGAGGCTGCAAAATATTCACACCTCTCGCATATATCAAATAATGACATCAACTATAACAATTTATATTTTATGGTATAAGCCAGCAACTTACCAGCAAAGTAATGACAGTACTGCTTAGATCCAATATAAGTCGCAACGCTTGTTCTCTAAATGCCATGAGATCAAGAAGGAGCTAATGAATACCAAAAAGTAACAACCAAGTAAATACCAAGGTGGTTGGTGTGAAACCATAATTGTAAATTGCTACCAAAATAATAGCTTTGTATGGTTCAATGGAACAAGGATAAGAAAACAAAATAATAATATGCTTATCAGTTCAAAATTTATCCAATTGAAGAAAAAGGAACCAAGTCTTACAGAAGGACAATGTCGATAAATATTATAGCTTATTTCTTTTGTTACTGTTTATCCATTTTTTATGCATATATTTACTTATTGTAAGGTCAGGGGTATTTTGGTTATTGTCTCTGTATTTTACGTGCAGTATATATGGTTACATAGCAAACAGAGAGATGCCCCTAACTTTTGCATCTTTCTTTTCTTTCTTCATCTTTAACTCTATTTCCACAACCCTCCAAGCACCTTTTCCCTTTACTTTTTTGATGAATAGCAGAAAAAAAAATTGATAAATGAATAAAGTTGTTATTAATAGAGAACCAGTGAGCTTACAAACAGCCTAAGAAGAGGCACGAGTTGCGACCTCCTCTTTAAGGATGAAAGCTAAAAACTCACACTAATAAAGAAATCAGATTACAAAGTAGCCCAGAACAAAGAAACCCTTGAGACCCCTTCTTTAGCAAGAGAATCAGCCAAAACATTTGCTGATCTGCTAACCCACTGAAAGTTAACTGCCATGTTTCTTGTAAGCCATTTAACTCTTTTTAGGAGATCCCTATAAACCCAATTAACAGTATCTGGGTTTGCCAACCAACCCACAACCACCTTTGAGTCTCCACTCCGAGTTGGTCGGCAAATTGTATTCCTTGTACTGCTGCCGATATCTCTGCCCTTGTAGAATCTCCCTCTCCCACTGGTCCTGGGTCCAAGGAAAGAATATTGCTATCCTTATCTCTCAAAACCCCTCCTATGCCCGAGGGTCCTGCGTTCCCTTGACTACTCCCATCAAAGTTCAATTATACAACACCCTCCAGAGGGGGTAGCCAGCTAGCTTGTATTCTAATCTTTTGAGAAGATGTGGAAGCCACTGCTGCCCAGTTTCTTCTGAGATCATCATGGGAATAATTCTCAAAAAGTGCTGAGGTTTTCAGCCAAAGGGTTGCCCTTCTCAAGATACACTCTTTTACTTCAGAGATACCCCTGCTATCTCTCCCCACTACATTTTATTTGCAACTGGGCCAAAAAATATTGCGTTCTAATTACCCCTTCTTTTGTTAAACAATCAGCCAGACTGTTTGCCTATATTGGTACCCATTGTATAATTAATTGCATGTCCCTTGAGTAGACCTGTTCACGGGCTGGGCTTCGGGCCTGACTTACACTGTGTTGGGCTTGGGCTTCGGGCCAGGCCCCATTCATATTACAACAATGCCCAAAAAAGACTATCTCTTCCCACCCTTTGTTTGGCAAGTGAGTCAGCAAAGGAGTTTGCACTTCTCTTAATCCATTGAAGCTTAATTTCCATCTTGAGTCAGCTGTTTAAATTTCTTTTTTTCATTTAAAAATTTCCAGAATCCCATCTCTTCATTCTGCAACCAGCCAATAACCAACATCGAGTCACCCTCCACCAACAAATATTTTTATATTCAACTCTCTTTCTCTCTTTACCCCTTCCAAAACTGACAAGATTTCAGCTCTTAGGGAATCCCCAATTCCAATGGGGCCCAAAAACAAGGCAACAATCCTTCCACCCTCATCCCTGAAAACTCCTCCAATACCTGATGGCCCTGGGTTTCCATCACTGCTACCATCAAAATTCAATTTGGTGAACCCACCAGCCGGAGGGGACAAAATTGGATTAGTGACTGCTTTAAAAGGAGTTCAGTGGGTCACATATTTCCAATTCTTAATAATATCTCCTGCTGTAAAACCCTCAAAGAGCTTCATAGTCTTAACCCACTGAACCACTTTAACAGTTATAGTTTCTAAGATGACCTCCATCTCTTGTTAAGCTTCATAGTCTATTGTTAAGCTTTTGGAAGGAGTTTTTATTGATCCAAGTAAATTTGACTCCAAAATTTGGACTCTTAACTCCTCTAATACTTTATCTTGTGCTTCTTACCTCCATGGTCTCCTTGGACTGTTTTTTTTTTTTGGAAGAGCAAAAATAAAATTTTATTAAATAAAAAAAAAACAATACAGACAATAGGTGACAAGATGGCACCTAGCTTACAAAACAAAACAAACTGGACTAAGGCATAGCCCAGAATAAAACTGAAACAAGTTACAATAATTGAATCTCAAGTATGTTCCAGAAATTCTCCCCCAATTCTGATCTGCTAACTTGATCAAAGTCTGGTAACACCCATACCCAATGTCCCAATCTGCAACTACCTTCCCCACCAGAACTTCCTCCTTGGACTCAAATCTCTCTGCAGCTTTACCCGTTAATGAAATTTGGAGGGGTCCGGTGCCACCCAAGATAAGAAATTTCTGCTAGGAAGTCTTCTATAATAAAATTAATTCTTGTAAAACAATGCAAAGAAGAAGACCTAGCTTGTGTCTCTCCCCATATATCTGTATTTCGTATAAAGCTAATGGTGAAAGCACCAGCCATCTACTAATCTCTTGTAATTATGTGACTGATATTTGGGATTACTTCTTTTCATGTTTTGGTTATAGGTGGCATCTCCCAGGGCAAATGAAGAATATATTTGACTCATCCTTTTTCTCTCCCGCATGAAAGAGGATAAAATCCTTTGGACATGTACAAGGGTGGCAGCTTTGTGGTGTGTGTGAGAGCAAAGAAATTCAAGGCACTTTTAAGGAGAAGGAAAGAGATGTTGCAGAGGTCATTAATAGAATCTTGATCAAGGTAGCTCATTGGGTCAAAACATCGGATTTACTTGCTCCTTTCTCCATTGATGATATCTGTAGGAGGTGGCAATTAGTGACTAAGTCAAATGTCATCATTGAAGGCAATTTCAAGGTTGTCACAAATTAGTTGAACAGAAACTAGGATGGATCACGGCACCATAGACATATTGTAAGGGAAAGAAACATATTGGGATAGCTGAATACTAAATTTAGTTGGGTTCCTCGAGCAGCAAACAGAATAGCTGATGGGTTGGCAACAGAAGGGGCAACAAGAGAAAATCTGTTTTGGGGTGTGCTTTTGTAATGGGTCTCACTAAGTATCACATCGATGATGTGGCTAACTGAAGCTATCCACTTATGTAACTTAAAAGCACTTTCAATAATTGTAATAAAATTTGTTTTGTTACTGATTGAAAAAATAAAAATGTCCAAGGATCTCTCTCATGTGATCTATAAGGTGATGGCAACATTTGTTCATTCATTCAACTGCAAATGTAATCTCTCTCTCCTCTCCTGTGTATGTAAAGAGTGTGGTCAGGCTAGTGTTCACCATTCATATGTGTCAACCCAGTAGGCATAATTCTAAATTCGTAATTCATATGGATGCCAAATCAGATGCAGGTTTTTCTGAGCCATTATGAGTCAACTCATGGTCATCTGTCAACTTGCAAATCCGAGCATAAACTAAGGTCTCCCTGTAAAACTGATAATAATAATAATTATTTTTTTAAGAAAAATAGCAAGACAAACAACATCAATAATCTAAAAAACTTATAAATCGTGTTTGGTATATGAGATGAACATCTCTAGCCAAACCCCACAATGGCAATTGAAATTTTAAGGTGCAACTCCATACCTGGATCCAAGGCTCCAAGCCTTGCAAGTACACTTCTGCGTTATCTTGTAAAGCATCCAGAGCAAGCTTATCAACCTGTATGTATATTTGCCATGGGATAAAAATGAACAATTCCTGTTTTCACCAAAGAAATTCCACCAAACAATGAACAAACAAAATCTTACTCGTTCCAGTTGTAATTTGCTAGGATGCTCTGGAAATTTCTTTGAAACCAGCATACATATTCTGGGGTGGTTGGGAAATACACCTGCCTTCCAAAAAGCATCTGAAAACACATGCGAAACCGAGTCCGGATAATCCAGAATTTGATTCAATCTATACATCTTAGCCGATAAACCTTCTGCAACTTCAGTGAGCTGAACAACCAATTGCATATTCAAACCCTTCTGAGATAATCCTGCATTCTGCGTTGGACCTTCTGAACCCATTTGCTTCCAGCTGGTAGATGACATTGGAGAAGACATTTCAGAACTCAAGTACTCAGACCATCTAGATGGGCCACCCCATTCCCTCGATCTTGTAGGGGTGGGTGATGCATCTCGAGCAGAAGAATGATGCCTTGGCCTCTCCATGAATTAATCAGTCAAAGTCTCTGCAAATAAGTTCGGTTTAGGGTTTAAGACACCAAAATTAAGAATTTACAAACAATAGTGCTAACAAATTAGTTCGTATACATTCTATACTTCTCAACTGAAAAACACGACCTGCATTTCTCTCTTTGAAGACCTTCTAATTCACACATTTACTCTACAGAACTAAAAACCCATATGCAAATAAAAGAATAACGCAATTTTGCTCTTTAGACTCGTTTCAACCTATGATTCCAACGGATCTCTACAACCCTGAAGTGGGCTTTGATAATTAAGAAGAAAACCGATTGGATTCGAGCAATTCCGACGCGCATTGGCGGTGTTCTTGCGGAGAAGAGAGATAAAATAACAGAAACTTAAATGAAGAAGCGAGAAAAAGAATTACACTTGTTTCGTACACTAATAGCAGCTTCAGCTTCTACAATCAGAGAAACACTTCCTAATCCAGATTTCAGATCTGAGGATCCCCCAACAAGAACAGTAAGAGACCGAGGTAGCAGAGTTGGTTGGTTCAGTAAACAAACTGGTTTTTCAGTATTAAGACACAGATTTTTGGGCTCTTTAAGACACAGAACCGTTTTCCGTGGTTTATGAGTTCTGACATGCGAGCAGGGCCTACGCCTTAATCCCAATGAGCCACACCACAAGAACGACACATACATAAAATACACTGTACAGCAACCACCATCATAATATTGTACTCCTATCAATCTCTGAATAGTTATTGATTAATGATCAATACCCCAACTCCCTAAGCTAGAATTGCCCGTCTGATCTGAAACAACCTGATTGGGCCATCGTCAAATAGTGGGTCCCTGAAATCTTAACCAGGGGATTGGTATCAGATACATGGATTAGGCTTCTAGGTGAGATATAAGTAGGCTCTATGAGGCAAAATTAGACGGTGTAGATCATCTAATTGGATGGTGCAGATTTTTTGATCAAACATTAAGTAAATGAGAGGTATACGCAATATGATTTGGGAGGTAGCTGTATGGAAGGTCATTGACTTTGTTTTTATTTGTTTTGGTAGTAGGGAGGCTACAGTGTATATTAGGTGCGTAGATAAGAAAGAGAGAGTGGGAGTCAGTGGAGGACAAGCTTGGCTTCTACATTAAGCCAGCATGATTGGAAGCAAGGTTGTAAGTTGTAAGTTTCTGCCCACCATGTTCTTTAAGAGGATCAGAAGATTTTATGGTATCATAGGTAATCCAGCCAAGAACAGGCTAGACGAGGTTGGATGCAAGAATATTTTAACGATTTGGAAAAATTACTTATATGAACACTTCTAAATTTTCGTTTTTTTTTTTATTTTATTGTAAGGTCACGTGCTTTGCACGTGTGCAAAGTAAAGATAAAAATGGTATAAGTAGATGTACAGTTGGATCAGGTTAAGTCGAGTTGAGGTCCATCCTAATTCAACTCAAGCTGTTAAAACCTTAACCCTAATTGAGGGTGTTCACGGGTTGATTTGTTTCGTTTATAGGCTATTTGGCCAATCAACTAACCTAGTTGGGTTGGGAAGTTAGTCACCCAAAACCGATTGACCAGTGATGAAAACTGATCAGCTTGGATTGTATCTATTTGGATCGATTTTCGATTTGGTTGATTAATTCCAAAATTTAAATTTAATAAATTAAATTTATAAAATAAATTAAAATTTAAAGAATTATAATGGTATTGTTAAAAAGTAAATTTAAAAAAAAATACAATATAAAATATTTTAACCTAGGAAATGTGGGAACTTTCTCACTTTTCCATATGAAAAAATAATATATATATATATATATATATATATATATATATATATATTAGGTCAGATTACAAAATGATCAAACCGAAATCAACCCGATCTCTGAGGTTAACATAAATACTAAACTGAAATCGACCAAAAATAATTAGAAAACGGACCAACTGGAGTTATACTAAGTCAAGTAGATCGGTTTCATCAGTGTGATGAACAGCCCTAACCCTGACACAACCGTAAAACTTTGGATTAGGTCAAAATGGGGTTGGGCTCTGGTTGACCAGACTTCACTACTTATTTTGCCAAATGTTATTATTTCCTAGACTCAAGGGTTAAAGTTAATTCAATTTAGCATTATCATGTTTAAAAGAATACTAGTCATCCATGTAGGGAATTAATGTAGTCAATAAATTTATTAAATAAAAATGTTATTTCGTAATCAAATCTCCAGTAGTAGAGTATGATGATAAATGTTGGTTTAATTTGGATCAATGGGTAGAGTTTGTCTTAGCCCAATTAAGAATGCCATAAGACTCTTGCCTTAATTTTGCCAAACAAAATGGCTCAGCCAATAAAACGGTTAGGCTCAGTTTGGAAGCAGTACAAATGCAAATATGTAGAGTGCAAAACCTTATATTTTGCATTTGCACTTTATATATTTGCATTTATGTTCTTTCCAAACTGAGACTTAAGCTGCGTTTGGTTGAAATGTAATTTTATTTGCACTAGTGTAAATTCATGAGAGTGTAAATGAAAAAAAATGCAAATTCTCATTTAATTTTTTTTTTGGGGTTTTACTTTATTCTGCTTCATGTCTTAACTTACTTCATTTGTACTGCAATCAAATAAAATAAGATAAAATTTGAAACAAAAATAGCACTCAAATCATTTGTACTGCCATGGTTTTGCATCAGTGCAAATTTATTTGCATTGCAACCAAACACAGCCAAATGGTTTTTGGGACTTTTACAATGTAAATACGACCAGATTAATTGACTCAGCCCAGTACACAAGTTAGTTCAAATGGTCTTTGAGACTTTTACACCATAAGTACAATTCGATTAATTGAACTAAGTGGAAACTTCAGTTAATAGAGCATTTAGATAACTAAACTGGTCAATAAAATGACTCGACCCAAAAAAAGTGGTTGGTTCAGACCGTTCTTGGGTCCCTTACACACAATGTAAGTACAATTGAGTTTATATTCAAACCCTCCACTGACTTGATCTAACATCGCACATCTCACTATGAGACTGGGACCCACCATAAAAGTAGGACCCACCATGTACAAGATGTGTGGTGTGAGATTATGTTGGTAGAGGGTTACAATGTGTTGGCAGGTGATCCAGATTCAAAAATTACTAGTATTAAGTAATGTTTTTATGTAATTACTGTTAATTACAAATAACAAATTAACATAATTATTGTTCATTAATATTTACTACTAATCAATGTTAAAATAACTACTATTCATTAATAGGGGTAAAATCAAATAAATATAATATGGTTTATATTCATTTTTTAGTAGCAACATTATTGTTATTAAGTGCTGATTTGCTACAATTATTGTTTTGGCTTCAAAAAAATATAATTATTGTTAATTATAAATAACAAATTAACATAATTACCGTTCAAAGAATATTTACTATTAATTGGTGTTAAAATAATTATTGTTAATCAACAAAATACCCGTTCCATGGAACACAACAACTACAATCCTAGTATAGGGGTGCAAGTCGAGCAGGTTGGGTCGGGTTTATGGTCAACCCAGGCCTGGCCCTAAAATTTGGGCTTAAGACCCGAGCCCAAGGTCAAGCTTGACTTTCCCAAGCCCAGCCCGCCCTATAATTTGATGCACTCGGTTTGGGTTTGGGCTCGGATCGGGCTGGGGTTGGTCAATGAACCCACTATAAAATTATACATATATAAATGTATTTATGTAAATATATATACATACATTTATATATGTATGTAAATATGTATGTAAATATGTATGCAAAATATCTATACAAATATGTATGCAACATTTACATATATACATATATATATGTATAAATGTATATAATTGGACCGGGCTCTCGCTACCTAAGGGCTAGGCCCGAGCCCAACCCAAAAAATAAAAAACTATCTTCTAGGGCCCGAGGACCAAAAATCCAAACCCAGTTCGCATAAAATTCTGGGTTGAGCCAGTGCGGGCTCGGGTTGGGCCCGCCTAAGTTGTACCTCTATCCTAGTATCAGGATAAACCATCTAATGGCTTGGCCTCTTTTGGCTTTGTTTTGGAAAGGACCAGGGGGAAGTAGTCCATCTCATTTCTTAGCTCGTGGATGCTCTGCTCCAATTCATCTATTCGTTAGCTCATATGGAATCAAACATTGCTTGAACATTGGATTGCATCTAGTAAAGAAGATTTTGCACAAAAAGAAACGTATTGGCAGTGCTTTACTTAAAATCTTCTAAATCATGTTTTATCCATTTTGATATGATTAATCGCTCTTTTAGTCTTTTCCTCCTCCCTTTCTGCTTCATTTGTAATTCGGATTAGCTAAATGAGATGGTTGTTTAGTAGGTTGTGGAACCAAGCTCATACTGTTGTCGTCCTCACCAACAAACCTCTAAGGCAAATCTTACTCAAGCCCGAGGTCTCCAGTCGATTGACGAAGTGGTCCGTTGAGCTCAGCGAGTACGATCTCCAATATAAGCCGCGAACTGCTATCAAAGCCCAAGCCTTAGCAGATTTTGTTGCATAATGCACTTTCGACTCCGAAGTCCCCAGGCCGGTTGAGCACGAGGCCCCCAGCTCGGACAAGCCCGAAGCTCCTAGGCCGGTCGAGTCTGAGCACCGTGAGGTTGCAGCCGGTACGACATCTCTCCTAGTTAGGCCGAGCGCGAACTAGGATGAGGAGCCCTGGATCCTTAACGTAGATGGCTCCTCGAACCAGCAGGGCAGTGGAGCTGGAATAGTCCTGCATGGCCCAAGCGGCACAAAGTTGGAGTACGCACTACGCTTCGAGTTCGCAGCATCCAACATTGAAGCAGAGTACGAAGTGATAACTGGACTAGCTCTAGCCAAAGAAATGAAAACCAAGCACATTATCATCTACAGCGACTCCCAGCTCGTGGTCAATCAGGTCACAGGAGAATACGAAACTCGCGAACTGACCATGATTGCTTACTTAGCCAAAGTACAGGAGGCTCTGCTCAACTTCCAGTCATACTTCATCAGGCAAATCCCAAGGTCGGAGAACGTCGACGCCCTGTCCCGGTTGGCCAGCACCAATGATAACACCATGAGGATCGTGTACATAGAGGACTTGCCTTGGCTTAGCATTCTCGGGGGGGGGGGGCAGAGGTGGTCACTCCCGTCGTTCAAGCAGAGCCGAGCTGGATCGACCCGCTCGCGAGCTTCCTGCTACACGGGACCCTCCCTGCGGACCGCAATGCTGCCAGAAGGGTAGAGCGTCAAGCGGCCAAATACGTCATAAAAGATGAACGGCTGTACCGAAGATCCAACACGCTCCCCTACCTGCGCTGCCTGCCACCTTCCGAAGCCGAGCTTGTACTTCGCGACACTCAGGAAGGCCTGTGCGGCGGACACTTGGGGGGCAGGGCCCTCACCCAAAAAGCACTACGACAAGGGTACTACTGGCCAACAATGAAAGAAGACACCACCGAACTTGTCAAGAAATGCGACAAGTGCCAGAAGCACGCCAACATCCATCATCAGCCCGCTGCCGACCTCAAATACCTCACCAGCCTGTGGCCTTTTGCACAATGGGGTATCGACATACTTGGGCCATTCCCACAAGCGACAGGCCAGAGGAAGTTCCTAGTGGTAGTAGTGGATTATTTCACCAAGTGGATAGAAGT